AATGAATTGTCGCTGGTACATGTTATCTTAGTACAAGTGCTTACTGCTGCTGAGAAACTAAGCACGCATGGGACATGTCCATATTGTATGATTAAAGCGCTGAATTAAATTGGACTGAAAATTTGTCGCACTGTTGTAATAAAAAGAATTAGAAGACGGGGGGAGGGAAGGGGGAGGAGAGAAAGAGGGATGAAGAGAGGCACGGGGAGGGGAAGGAAGGCGAGTCGCGCACATGCTTAAAGAAAATAAAAAATTTTTGAATCATTTAGGTTTTATATTGCTTGCGATGTGTGCAGAAAGTGGTTCCACGGTCGGTGCGTTCGCATCTCGGAGAAAAAAGCAAAAGAGATGACAGATTGGGTGTGTGAGTACTGCAGCAGAGAAGGAAAGAAGATGAAAAATGTTGGTCTTTTGATTTTTACAAAGTCGGATAAGCGCAACAATGAAATTATTTTTTAAAACCGGAGCCCCATCCACATTTCATTCTCTGAGAAATAGTGACTCGGAAGCAAGTCCGATGCTAACCACTGTTTGAGCAACGGCTTCCTTTTCCGGGGCTGCTTATAAGCAAAGTAATGACCGTTTTATGCGCCAGTCGTCAAAGGACTTGTAATATTGGTGGAGCCGAACCTTCGACTTTCAGTACAAGAGCAGCGATACTCGCCATTGCTCCCATTTTGAATGCTTGGAGTATCAAAGTGAAATACGGACAGTGTATAAATAGGCTTTTTTTTTTTCGAAAACCAAGGCTAACAGTATAAGTCTGAAGGGTCTGTTTGAATGATCGGACGAAACCCATAGCTCCATTTGTGGAACTTGGCCAAAAAAAATAGCAAGGATAGTGTAAAGCATTTTCGGAAGAATATTCTCCAGACTACTTGAAAGTGTTTGGGCCAAACATATCACTGCAAATATGCAAATTTTTCCAGCAGCTGTACTGTGTTTGTCGGACTCCATACGACTGCAATCGTTTCTATGTCGGATGTGATAGTTGCGACGGGTGGTTCCATCCGGAATGTGTTGGAACAACGCAGGAGTATGCTTTGAAGTTTTTAATCAGTTAATATCAATATGCGTCAAGAATTGTGTTAATATCAATATGCGTCAAGGATTGTGTTAATGTAATTCGGTTGTGTTTTAATCTTTTAAATGTAATTAATTGATGAATGAGCTGATACGCATTCGAATTTGAACTTTCCAGTTGATTCACCGCTGGAGATATAACAGAAATACGCATTTAGCCGCTTTGCTTTGAAATCCTACTTTTGGCCTTATTTGTACCTTTTGCCATTGATCGAAGGAAAGGTACAAATAAGGCCAAAAGTAGAATTTCAGAGCAAAGCGGCTAAATGCGTATTTTCGTTATATCTCCAGCGGTGAATCAACTGGAAAGTTCAAATTCGGACTGTTCAGCTTACTTTGTACGAACAATTGTATTTCCGGAAGCGCTTAATCGCACTTCGGAAATTGATGTGCATTGGAATCTCCAAGAATACCCGTCCTTCATGCCTTTCACTTGCCTTCAAAGCCACTGAATTCTCTGTGCAAAAATTGGGATTTTAATCCGAGAGGAAGAATTTTTACATTTTTCCCAAATATCCTTCTTTATGTAAGAAGCGGGTATTGTTACTGGACTGATTTGGCCCAGTCTCGCCTAACAAGATTTTTTATTCGCTGAGGGAGCGAAAATTCTTATTTTTTATGACTACTTTCGCCAGATAAAAGAAAGGTCAGTGATGCAAAAATTTTTGTGTCTGAGTAAATTTAATCAATTAAAATGAAATTGCAGAGAAGCAGAAAAAGTAGCCGAGTACGTTTGTCCACAGTGTATTCGGAACAAACAAGGAGAGGACGAGTTGATACTTAGTCGTGCTGATTTTGCGCTGCTTTGGCAGGTGCTTGATAATTTGAAGGAACATCGCACCAGCTGGCCATTTCGAGAACCTGTTGACGCCGAGGAGCATCCTGATTATTACAAGATTATTAAAAAACCGATGGGTTTGTTTTTGACTTAATTTTCCTCAAAACTAATGCACTTTGTGACGGCTTCTCAGCCCTAGACAATTCATATATTTTTGATGGGATCAACTGGCTCTGTTTAAAAAAGATTTTCGTTACTGATATCTGATGGACTAACATTCAGTGACTGTACTTGTTTAAAGAATTCGGCTCTCTTTTTTTTCAAAGTCAGTTCCCCCACGCAAGTCTTGAAATATGAATAGAGGGCTGAATTCCGTATTCGGAATATGCCGATGAAATCATTGAGTTGCAACCATTTGAGTGTTTATTTTAGCTTTTATCATATGTAACTCGAAATAGTTGCGAGCGGGGAAGGAAAACTGCTGCGACTGCTTTTCCAGGAAAATTTTCTCGCCATGTTTTAAATTTTCAAAATCTCAAGAAAAAAGATTTTATTGACCAGTTGACATAACTTGTTGTCATTAAGTTCGTAATGCTGCTGCAAACCAAAAATCTCTAAATTGCAGATTTGAGCATTATACAAAGAAAGCTGGAACGCTGGGAATATCATCGATTGAAA